CGCAGCCCAGCCCACCTTTGGGCACAGCATCGCTTCACCAGCACACAAAGACATGCCCAGAGCTAAGGGACAGAGCCATAACCCCCCACCTTCCTCCCCTGCCCCTCTCCATGCCCAATGAACCCACCCTTCCTCGAGGGAACCCACCCAGAGGGATGCCCAGTGCCCCACAGCCTCCACCTGCGTGGGGCCAGAGCAGCCCAGCCATGGGGCCAGATGAGTGCCGTGCAGGGGGGTCCGGTCCCTGGGGCCCCGAGGTGCCTACCTGGGGGGCTGAGTGGTGGCGAGAGGAGCAGGAGGCTGGACTGGTGCTGCTGAGGCTCAGGATGCCCCTCCTAAATGCTGTGGGGCAGGTGGCCAGGCCCCATGGCCAGGGGCGGGCAGGACTGTGCTCCGCCTCTGTGGGGCTGGCAATGGGGACAAGGCCTGGGATGGGATGGGATGGGATGGGATGGGATGGGACCTCCCTCATGGGACAGTGGCACTGGGGAACTCCCATGGCCACCAAACCACCACCATGAACCTTGACCCATCGGGACCCCGTAGATACCCCTCACCCTGCTCCCCTGGGCCACCCCGATCCACAGGGACCCCACAGACACCCCTCATCCTGCTCCCCAAGGGTACTGTGACCAATAGATATGCCTCACCCTGCTCCCCAGGGCCACCCTGACCCATGGGGATCCCACAGACACCCCTCACCCTGCTCCCCAAGACCACCCTGAGCCATGGGGACCCCGCAGACAGCCCTCGCCTCCCCTCTGCTGACGTCGGCTCCCCGCCCGGCCCTAATTACCCCCCTTCGTAAACAGGAAGGGCAGCAGCCCTGCCCCACACGCCCTGCCATCGTGCCCCGGGCTCAGCCCCTGTGGCCACACTCCCTGAGGTCCTGCAGCAGCCCCCAGGGAAGGGGGAATGGTTTCCCCCCCTGGCAGCACCCCAAATGGGCACAGTGAGCTTGGCCATGATGCCTGGGGCAGCCCCAGGAGCCAGCCCCGGCTTCGAAGGGGGACACAGCCGTCCCCAAGCGTCCCTTGCCTCCCCCAAGGATGCCACGCGCCCGCCGGAGAGACCTGCAAGGGACAGCAGTGGCTCTGTACCCAGAAAGGGCTCGTGGGGGGTACTGGGGTCCCCCATCCTAACTTGGGACGTGTCCAGGGAGGAGATGCTCCACAGGAGCCCCGGGGATGGGGAAAACCAAGGGACCGCCTTTCCGTCAGACTCACCAGAGCCCAGGCAGAGGAGGCTGCAGACCTGGGGGTTGCACGGTGCTGGGGACCCAAATCGGCCCCAGGGGGGATACACTGGGGGGGTTGCACTCACAGCCTGCCTCGCCGTCCAGCACGGCTCAGGTTTGGGGACAGAACCACACCCCCAGGAAGGACCCTTTCCCCCCAGCACCCCGGGGTGGCTCCTCTTGCCCTTGCCCAAGGTGATGGGGGCCTCAGGGTGGGTGTTGCTCCCTGGCAGCCCATTGGGCCGCATCCTGCACCACTGCTGTGGCCCTTCCCGGGGCTGTCTCCCACCATGTCCCCCCATCCCATGGGAGCTCCGGCCTCAGCACCTTCCCCACGTGGCGCTGCCTGCTCCTCCACCACATCTCAAGAATCCCCCGCTACCGGCTGGGCCGGATCCTGCCCCGGCTCCCCGTGACTGATGAAGATTTCACCCTCTCCCGCCCTGCCCAGAGGTTTCCCCACCCTGCCCCTGGGCACCGGCATTGCACGGCCACGGGCACCCCGGCATCGCCACGTGCCTGGGCACCCTCCCAGCCCAGGGTTTTGGGTGACGGTGCGGAGAGACGTATGCCCCACCACCCCCCAGACTCCCAAACCAGGGTGTCCCCCCCACCCGGGCACCCTGCCACATCACCCAGCGC